TTGATTTCCCCCCAAAAAAGTATAAAGAACTATACAAAGTATATACATAGGATTCTGTATGAAAGCCTCCCTCGTCATCTGCACATATATACATTATATACACGCCGCTGGACAAACGCTAACATGTAAAAAAATTAATTATAGGTCGTTCTGCTGCGATCTAGATCGCCAACAAGTGATTGTGAAGAGCAAAATCGCTCAACAAAAGAAAAGAGATCGGGATTCAGCCAAAGCCAGAATATATACTGGTGGTACCGTGCCATAAGGAGGTGCACTAAGAATATTCAAACCAATAATAGTGGGAGAGGAAGGAGGGAAGTTTTATGAATTTTGGCATCCCTAGTCACCCTACCACCGACCATATACTTGATATTGGCACATCGCCCTCTAGTGGCAGATAGGGAGAAGCACAGTGGGTGGAATGCAGGGGATACCATGTTTCATACATTTCTTTTGTATTCTCTGCCAAGTATACCGCGAGCTACAGCTCGCGGTATACTGAGCCTAGGGTGGCGGGAGGACGCTAGTTTGTGTCCTCCCGTTACCCTAAGGAGAACTATAGGGAAAAGCCCTAACCCCATAGTTCTCCTTTAAAACCATTCCAGACAACATGCAGCCTCCCGCCCACATGGAGGGATTTATCAACGTTGCAGCGCAGCCAAGCAGTGATAAACAGGAGCAATGAGGTGGATTAAAAGATTTCCTATGGACTTGATGTACTGTTACTGTACGCAGTTTGTAAAAAAAAACAACTAAATCTATTATCTGGCTGTAACTGCTATACCCTGTTGATTTTGGATGCACAGATTTGCATGGCCCCACCCTCTATCCTGAAATAAAGAATAACCCTCTTGTTTTTGGGACATGTGATGGAATGAGACACGTGAATACCTTCTGTTATAACAATGTCTCCATAGGGGGCTTTTTGGTTTTGTCCCTCTTCACCGTAACCTCTTGGGTGATGCTTTCTGAATTTTGAGTGAGGTTCTGTTTTTACAAGATGTTTCAGCACAGTGGCTTAGTGGTTAGCACGTGTAGTCAAGAACCAGCTGCACTGCTTACCGGAATAGTAGTAAACCTGCCAAGCAGGTGGGTGCTTGTAGTGACCACGGACGGCCCCGTGAACATTGCAGATCTAGAAAGGTTTGTCACCAGCACACCAAAAGTTTTGAAGCAAAAAGTCCTTTATTGACAAATCGCCATCCAATACAAGCGCTTTCGGGGTCTCAGCAGTACCCCTTCATCAGGCTCAGATTCTGGGTCTTAGCAGTACCCCTTCATCAGGCTCAGATTCTGGGTCTCAGCAGTACCCTTTCATCAGGCTCAGATTCTGGGTCTCAGCAGTACCCCTTCATCAGGCTCAGATTCTGAGCCTGATGAAGGGGTACTGCTGAGACCCCGAAAGCGCTTGTATTGGATGGCGATTTGTCAATAAAGGACTTTTTGCTTCAAAACTTTTGGTGTGCTGGTGACAATCCTTTTTAGTGGTTAGCACTTCTGCCTTGCAGCAATGGGATCCTCCAGTACTGAATCCCGGCCGAGCTCCAGCCTGGAAGTTTTAGCCCAGGCTTAGCCCCGACTCCCCCGTCCCCTCCAGAGCTTGGACTTGGGTGTGCTAGTTCCTTGGCCAGCTTGACCTGGAAGAAAGCCTGCCTGGATGGTGGACCCAAGGCTTGGCTAAGACTAACCAGGCCCTCCACAGCCTGTACTCTGCCGCAGTCGTCCCATCCTCCCCTGCAGCCAGCTTGGCCTGGACAAAGCCTGCCTAAACTGTGGACTCCAAGCACCTTACCACTGTCCCCCCAGAGCCCGGACTTGGAAGCTACTTCCGCACCCACCTTGACCCAGGTGGTGGGACTCCAGGCCCAGCTGAGGCTAGGCATGCCTCCTGGAGCCCAGAGCTGGACGTCCAGTCCTCCCCCTCCCCACTACTTCTGCAGCCATCTTGGCCCAGAAGGTAGACGCCCGACTCAGTCCTGTCTAACCGGAGCCCGGACTTGGAAGCTACTGTCACAGTCCCAGCTTGGCTTAGACCAGGGGTAGCAAACCTCCGGCCCTCCAGCTGTGGTGAAACTACAAATCCCATGATGCATCTCACTTCGGGAGTCCTGTCTGTGAGAATCTTGCAATGCCTCATGGGATCTGTAGTTTCACCACAGCTGGAGGGCCGGAGGTTTGCTACCCCTGGCTTAGACGGTGGAGCCCAGCCTAGGGCAGACCTTCTGCAGCCCAGCCTCGGCTGTCCCATCCTCCCCCGTTACTTTCACAGCCAACTTGGCCTGGCTTTTCCTTAGCTAGTTTGGTCCAGAAGAGAGGTGGACCCCAGAGCTGGCCTGACTCCCCGGGGCAGCAGATTTGGTAGCTACTTCCACGGCCAGCTTGGCCTGGACAGTGAACCCTATTCCTGTCCAGGTATAGACATGCCTTCTGGCACTGATCAAATAAAAAAGGTCTGGACTTGGTCTACTTTCTTGGTCAGCCTATGAAATGGAGAAGCAAGATCTTCCCACTGCATTCATAGGCAGCAATGACAGACCCTGGGAGAGGGGCGCATCGTTGAAAACCGCCTTCCTTCACCAAAAAGAAAAATATCTTGGTTTGAGCTCCAACTTAAAGCCAAGGAGACGCATGGTAACAATATTCAAAAGCAAACTCCTTAATATGCCATTAGCTTTGGGTTGTTTTGTTCAGCACTAAACACCTGGCCCACCGTAAAGAAGAACTGAACTCAGGACACAACTTAATAAGCTCCCATAACAGTGGGTTGTGTCCACTTCTAATTCCAGGGGAGGTAAAGGAGTTCTTTTTTTTCTTGATGAGGCTTATGCACTAGATCAGGGGTAACCAAACTGCGGCCCTCCAGCTGTGGTGAAACTACAACTCCCATGATGCAGTTCTCTCTCCGGGAGTCACGTCTGTGGCTGTGAGAATCTTGCAATGCCTCATGGGATTTGTAGTTCCACCACAGCTGGAGGGCCGGAGTTTGGCTACCCCTGCACTAGATGGTAACTGGATTTTGGACCTGTTTAGACCGACACACAGGAGCCTTTAGGAACACCTTGAAGCTAATTTACTGCTTATTAACAATATGCAAGTATTTGAATGTCTATAGCCTGGCCACTGTTCTACTTTAACCGCAAGTGAGAAAACACAGGAAAACTTGGACATAACAATAAAAAAATCTACAGACAGGATCCAGAACACAATACAAAAAAAAGGTAAATAAGTTGTAAAGGAAATCCCAAAAACAAAACAAAGAGATAAAACGCAAGTACAAGTAAACACGCTCCATTCTCATCTATATATGTAACTCGATCCTCTTGACATTAAACGGCTGAACTCGAGTCATGGCCCAGTATATGGCTTATGTTGTGTGCAGGGCGATTTGATGTCTGCTTAGAAGAGTCAGAAGCTGAGGGGTGCGATATGGACAGTAGAGGAGACATGGCAGAGCCGTCGGGAGGCAGAGCGGTGGCAATCTCAGGGAAGAGGGAGGTCAAGTTGAAGTTGGACAGGTGCGAGGGGTTGGCCATGTGCATTGGTGGCATTTCTGGGAGAAGGGGAAAGGTGGTTTGCGAGAAGCCTACAGGTCGCGGTGGGGATAATATGGAGCCAAATCGGTTGTTCAGGCCTGAACTGTTAGTCTTCTCCGTGCCGGGATTGGGGAACATCTGGTTAGAGAAATACGGCAGGGTGAGGTCATTGGACAGGCTTGGGTGAGCTGGTGAATATGGGGGATAGAACGATGGCAAGGTGTTCTGTGGGTCAACTTGAATGAGAGCAGAAGTTCGGGTGGCAGTGGCCTGCGTGACTGGGGGCATAAAAGAGGCGTTTGCATTAATCGGTGGGTTCATTGTGCCTTCTGGCATAAAGGGAAAGGCAAAGTTTTGGGTTAAAGTGTGCTGGTCGGGGCCCGAATTGTCAGTGGGCACTTGCGAGGCGTCCGGCATGAAGCGAACAATGCCGGGTCTTTTTTCCGTAACAGGCTGCTGGCGCCCAAGGATCATGCTGCCGGGACCAGCCAGCGGAAGGTGAGGCAAGGTCGGGTCAAACATATTGCTATGCCTTTGGCTCCCAGTCCTGTTCCTTTCAGGTGGTCGGCTTTTGGAATCCGATTCCTCCTGTAAGGGATGCCTTGAGCGCTGCGGAACTGGTGGGTTGACCTGCCTCGTCGTTTGCCGCTGATCGACATTCCCATGGGAAACAGACTGATGGGGAATGGGCGGGTGAACCACCCCGTGCATGTTAATAGACACTTGGATGTTAAGCTGGTTCTTGGCACCTTGACTGTCGATTTGCCTAATCGAATGGGACTTCTGCATTGTATTGTGAGGGCTGGTGTTCCTTCCCTGTATATCTCCGGAAGAGCTGGAGAAAGGAATATTCAAAGAATTATTTCTTGACGTGACCTGTCCCATGACTAAGTCGCAGCTCTCCCTGTTGTGGACTTCCCCGTCTCTCCTTAAATGGAGAGCATCACGAGTCGGCGGGCAACCAAATTCAAGGCCGGAGGAGGAATTGTACTGCGGACGCTGGGGCCCCGAAATTCCCCTTTGATTTGAACCGACTTGCTCTCCAAGATGTGGGGCTAAAAGACTCTGCATGAAGCTTTGGTGGCAAGAATTGTCATGATCTCGAATCGGAAGTGTATTGGCCACCTGGACCTCTTGTACAGTCTGGTACGGCAGGTGCTTTTGCCGTTCCATTGCTGAATTGGGATTCTGATTACTTCTGTAGGTTTGGGAATGAAGACTTCTCATATTGGCCGTGGTGCCACCGTCATTGTTTCTTGAGGTCGGGACTTCGAAAGAAGCTGGTGGCTGCTGCTGCTGGTTCATGCCGCCCGGCTTAAAGGTTTGACAGTCGGCGAGTCTCTGGGAATCTGTATTTACAGAATGTTCCATGGTCATCCGGCTCTGAATATTGTGAGTCGACATAACTTTATTTCTCGAAGCATCCAAGTATTTTCTCATTTCCATCTGTTCCGATACCCTGGAGGCTTGGACTGAAATCCCTAATCTCTGCTCAGAGTTTGAAGTGCTCTTACCAATAAGTGCCTCTGCCGAATAACTTGAAACTCGGTTGCGTTCTTGCCGATGCGACGTGCTCATGCTCATGTTTGTATTCCGGGACACAACGCTGGGCTGGGACACCAACTGTTGCTCCAAACTTCTTGAGGTCATAAGTCTCTGGACTTGGCCAAGACCCGGCAGATGCTCTGTAGATACCACAGACCCCTGAGCCCGGTTGTTGATATCCTGTTGATGCTGACGAAGCATGTCCTGACTCATATGGCTTTGTTGATGGGTACCGTGAAGGCCGCGGGCCGATGAAGTGTTTTCACAGGATTTCTCTGCCTGCGAGGACCCAAAATGAGCGGGCATCTGCTGCTGGATCTGCTGGTGGTGAGAGTGAGCCTGAGCACTGTTTTGTCTGTTTTGCTCAGGCAGCTGTTTCTGCTGTAGAGACAATCTTGCTACCTGGGCACCTTGAATTGAGTTCCGTTTCTTTTGCATCTGAACATCTTGCTGTAGCATTCTTTGCTGCTGTACATTGTGGGACTGAGCATGAACTGAACTATCTGCAAGTTGAAGGTGGTGCTGCTGCTGTTGCTGTTGGTACAAGTGGTGCTGATCCCGCATGTGTCCACTTTGCTGCTGCTTTAGGTAAGGATTGCTGTTATGAAGAAGGGCTGCCTGTTGGTGTTGCTGTAAAGGTTGAAGGTGCTGATTGCCCATCTGACTCTGCTCTGAGATGGATGGCTGAGAATTGCAGCGCATGTCGCTTTGCCTCAGATTTGGGGGGGCAAAGTTATTACTCGCTGAGAACAGACTAGAAATTCCCTCTCCATGTCCCTGAATACTTCCAGACAAAGACGACGAGTCAGAAGGCATCTGACCGACTAACATCTCGTTCTGCTCTGCAACGCCGTCACGTTGCTGGATCCTTTCAATCCTCATGGGGCCGTGACACTGCTTTTGCCTCTTGGCTGCCGACAGCAACTCATCCCCATGCGCAGCACGTTTGGTGGATTCTTTTCGAACATCTAAGCTTTGCTTTAAATGAGAATCCGTGTTTGATGGAACCTGCATGACCGAGGCCTTCACAGAATGCAACTCATTTTGATGGTACTCAGATAAGACCATCGTCCCCGAAGAATGTCCTTCGTAACTGCTGGAGGGCATTGAGGAACTGGTGGAAGTAGACAAATGCAAATGTTCCGATGCTTGGGAAACACTTGCAGAGTTTGCAGCAGAGTGCATTATCCCGCGTTGGTGTATTAAATTATTGATGCTCAAACTGGTCACGCTTTGGGATTGAGACGATGCCATTTGCAGCGAGAGATTGGCAGTATTCAGCCCGAGCGTACAATGAGTTTTGTCCATCAACCGATCATGGGTTGAGGGGGCGTTTGTTTCCGTAGTACTGAAGGAGTGCGATACGGATGGAAGCCCACAGATTCCTTCTTTGGCTGAATGCGGCTTAAATGGGAGGCAACAATCCCCCGGCATTACCACTTCTGTGTTTTTAGAAACTGCTTCTTCAGCTTCCGCTTGCATTCTCGTCTTCTCCTTTGTAAGATTTTCCTGATCAAATATCGCTCTTGCAGCAGTTGGAACGATTTCACTCTGCTCAGAAAAACTACAACCGTTAAAAGGTGGCGCGGAGGAAATGGGGTTAGTGGTGTCTACCCTACTGGTATCCGGCAACATTGAGGCAACGGTGAAATTCCGACCGCTCCCGGAGCCGTTAGACATTGGAGAGTCGGTCTGTCGGCTATTCGCACATGAACCGACGACTTCGTGTTCTGATGTACTGGGCTGAGTCTGGGCAATGTGGACAACTGAGGTGGTCAAAATGATGGAATCTGTGGATGCAACCGTCAAGGCATCATTTGACTTGGCTTCACTGTATAGTGTATTAGACCCGTCGGGGACATCTGTGGTTACTTTTTCAAGAGATTTCATATTCGGGTCATCGGACAAAATTTGCACTTCCAACAAGTCGACGGGAGTCAAGTCTGCAGCATCACCTTGTATTAGGCAATCTTTGGAAGCCGAATGAGAATGTTCGTGAATGGTCACTACAGACGGGTCAACTTGCAGAGAATCTTGAACGGGTTGCTCTTTTAAGGGGAGTGTGGCTGCCGCAACCTCGGCCTTAGGTGAGGCTGGCGCTACGGAGGGCGGTCTCTTCTCATTCTGATGAACACAAACCTCTTCGGCAACAAAATCTCCAGCAGCTGAAAACTCTGCTGGAGCATGCTCATGCGATACAGATTCACTAAGAATGTCTCCTTCCATTCCCATGTTCAGTGCTGCAGAAGCACAGGCTTCAGCACCTGCTGTGTCTTGGGTTTGGTCAATATTTTGGGACACGCCATCTGTTGCGCTGGTTTTTTCTTGAGTTGTAATAGGAGCAGTAACTAAAACAGACAATTTTTCCATCTGGTTCTGTTCATCGCCGTGGGCCTGAGATTTTGAAGCCTCTGATGAACCATCTGGTGTAACGGTTGGGGTGGATTCTTTCTTTAAGGGGCCTCCCTTTTTAACATTAGGCTTCTTGATGTTCTTCTTTGGCTTTGTGTTGGGTGCAGGGCCATGAACTGGTTTAACAGACGAAGACTTTGTCAGTACAGACGCTGGTGCAACTGATGTTTCAGCAGTTGCTGTCATCACACTGGACCTAGGCACAGAAGCGCAGTTCACTGGTTGGTTATTGGCTGCTAAGGAAGGAGTAACAGAGGGGTTCAGAGTAAACTGTACACAGTTCTGTCCACCCATCTGGGATATGCTCTGGCTCAGGGTGGCCAATGCACCGAAGGTGTTAAGGGCTACATTTGTGTTAGGATCTTCACTGGTTGTTGGCTGGATAATTTGCATTGGAGCTTGGCTTGAGGAGCCAGCCGAAGGGGTTACTGGCTGCAGCGCAAATAACTGACCGTTGAGGGAAAATGTGGGGGGCTGTTGGTTAGAGGTGGCAGTAGATGCCGACACTTGGGTGGAAACTGAAGGCTGCACAGGTGCAGGCCTGGGCAATATGTGTACAAGATGCTTTGCCCCAAATGTCTGTGGAGCCACAATACTTTGCACCGGGTTTGCCGGACAAACTACGGGATTGGGCGCATTCATAGGCATCACCACTGTAGGCGAGGGCTGTGCAGAGACGAGGGGTATTGGATTCTGGTTAGGGGCTGCCTGGATTATAACAATTTGTTGGCCCACCGTTGGATTGGGAACAGGTGGACAAGGAGTAGGTGCCGGAGGCTGAAGCAGTATAATGTTCTGATTGGCTGGAGCTGGATTTAAAGCAGCATTGAACGGCTGGGCCACCTGAATTACTTGCACCGGTTGATTAAGTGGAAGAAGATTGGTTGTGCTTTGTGGCTGCGTTGGCGTTTTGAAGGGCTGAACTGTGACAGGTTGACCAGGAGGCATCTGCACCATTACTGGCTCCCCAGTCCTGTTTTCTGATGCCAATATGCTACTTATGTTTACGCAGGCTGGCATTTGCTGGTTCATCTTATCTTTCGATGCCACTGCCTGCTCAACCAAAAGAGCTGGCACCGCGCCGGAGGAAGAATGACTTAACGGCTGCACGGTGTTCCCTGCAAGCTGCAAGGTGGTCCATGTCGTTTGTGTATTTCCATCCGATGGGATTCTGGATATGCTGCCGACGCTTCTCAACTCCGGCAAGTTGTTAGAAAGGAACCAGCTGGTCTCCAAACAGGAAGAACTAGCGGACGCCGTCGGAACTTCAACGGAGGGGTTTATATCCCTCGAACTGACCACCTCCGGGCTCGATTCAATATGGACGCTGGGAAAAATCTCCTTCACCAAGTCTTTCACCGCTTCAGCACATCCAGCCGCTTCCGATATCTTTCCATGACTCGAGCTCGGAGACTGCATGCCAACTTGAGAAGCCAAGAGCGACGGCTGGGATGGAATATTAGCGACAGTGGATACAGTTAGGGTAGATGGCTGTGCTGACTGGCTGGAAGTAAAGAATTGGGAGCCTGCTGATGTGGATGGTAGAGACAGATGAGCTACAGAGTTGGTGTGGAATAAGACGGTTTGAGTTCCCTTTGATGAGGCAAGGTCCGCCGTGGTAGGAGTTGTAGTGGTGACAGGAAGACACAAGGAAACCTGCTGGGTAGTCGTCGTCGCGGAGGTTGCATTTTGTTGCCAAGCTTTGTCCAGCGGATACACACCAGAAATGGACACGGGCGTCACCAGATTGCATGTTCTTTGCACCGGCACCACATTGGCGGTCTGTTTCTGCAGGCTCTGTCCCACGTTGAAAGTAATTCCGTGCACGGTGCTGCCTTGGTTAGAAGATGCCAGCTGATTACTGCTCAGGCAGAGGGGGAGCTTCTGGTCGGCTGGAGCAATCAGAGAGGCCTTTGCGCGCTTGGAGTTTCCTTTCCAGTGTAGCGTCGGGTCGTCATACAGGCAGATGTCATTGCTCTTCAAAAGTTCTATGTAGCGTGCGTTCTCCTTCTGAATGTCGGCCAGTTCCCTTCTGAGTTTTCGGATTTCTCGGGCTGTGAAACAGGACGAATCAAACCGTTAAAGGACGACAGCACGGAGAGGATGAGAAGAACATTATCAGATATAATCTAAAAGATATGATAAAACGTACAAACAGCCAATATAAAACTTTGTGATTCTGCCCAGACACTTTTGCGATTCATATGGCTTTGCTAGTAAGTACACCTAGGTGACACCACTTTTCTCTAATTGAGTTAAAGAATAGAGTGTTGTCACCTCCACGCCTGCTGCCTACCTACTGGACAACTAAGAAGTGGCAATACATTGATAAATCATCCAACTCTGCGCTCTGCTCAGCATGTTCCTTGCATGTACATGCAGCAAAACCTGATTTGCACTTTGTCTTGGAGATTAGCTTTAAAAAAAGAGTACTATGGGGTCGGGGCTTTTCCCCATAGTTCTCCTTAGGGTAACGGGAGGACACAAACTAGCTTCCTCCCGTCACCCTAAGCTCAGTATACCGCGAGCTACAGCTCGCGGTATACCGAGACGCCACAGTATACTGCGAGCTGCTGCTCGCGGTATACTGAGACGCTGCAGCTGAAGCGGATCCCGACAATTATGTCTGGATCCGCCCAGCTGCGTGAGTGACAGCTGGCTCTGCCTATCTAGAGGCAGAGCCAATTGTACCCGCCCCCTCCCCTGTCCGTTCCCCCAGTCAGCGCTGGCGGATCGGAGCGGGGAGGGGGGGAATCCAGTTCCTCCACTGTCACGGCAGAGAGCTGTGACAGGATCGAGAGGTGAGCGAAGGCCGGTATGTGTTCCCTCACCTCCCGATCTACTGAGCCGACCTGTGACAGTCTCATTGTCACAGGTCGGCTAGAACTATGAGGTGAGTGAAAAGCACCCCCCTCATAGTTCTCCTTTAAGACCCGCCTCGTCCCAGAAGCCTCCAACATGTCCTAGTAAATCAGGCGGTGGTGGGCACGCTCTCTGTATAAAGACACCTGCCCCTAATTATATGTAGTGTTGGAAAGGCAGCCAGGGCAGGTTCTGGTTAAGCTGCCCAGGACCACGCAATCCCCAACACAATCCCAGGATTCTCCTTGCTCTTGAAGAGACGTCACACTATACGCTTCAATCCACTCTGCAACCAGATAGATTAGGGTGAGATGGGCCAAAAGGAACCAAAAAAAAAAAAACCCCCCTTGGGTTTAATTACCAAGAAGGCTTGGGCAGCATGAAAGTATTTACTGACTTCTACGGGGACTTTTAGTACAGCGACAGGAGGAAGTAAATCACGTGGTCAGGCGTGACATTGAAGCCAGCACCTTCCAACCCTGCAAATAATAGGCCTCTCTCCTGCCTGCTAGGCCTCACCTTGTTCCTGGTCCCCTGCATTGAGTAAGAGTTCATCGTTCTGGCGCTTGAGCTCGGTGATGTACTTGTAGGCCTGCTCCAGGATCATGTTCTTACTCTGAAGGTTAAAAAAAAGTTTAAAAAAAAATGGAAGATCAGAAAGTAACTGTAAACCCTCATTGAGTATGCTCATGCTATGCTTAAGCCATTTAGGACAAAGCAACAAGATTTTATGAATAGAGTGAAAATCCCCTCCCCCCTCATAGTTCTCCTTTAAATTTAACTGCCCACCTTCCTGGCAGTAAAGAAGTACAGCACTCAAGAACTACATTACTCACACTATCATCCGACATATTAGTAAACTAAACATGAGATTGTAGTCCATCCCAGGAGCGAGCTTGGAGCGGTGACTACTTTACAACACACACAGGGACCATGGGGAACACAAGTAGCCCCCCCTCCAGAAGGATGGACATTGTCGGCACCAATTCAGAGATGATTGGAGGATCTACAGCCGAGTGATACACAAATAAGATGCAATGGGGGGTATTTATCATAGCAATTGCGAGTGTTTGAACTTGCACGGAATATATTTGCTCCAGAGTTATGAAGCCAGTGTAATGTTGTTGATAAATGAGGTTTAGAGCCCGTTCACATTGAGCAAGCTTGAATCGCGGCTAAATCCGCTCCAAAAAGGGTCCTGCTGTAGCGACACACGACCCGCGACAGCAGGGCCCTTTGCCCCCATTGAGAAGCATTGGAGAGCGATATCGCGCGGTAAATTGCCGCGATATCGCGGGAATTACCGCGCGATAAATCGCTCAATGTGAACGGGGTCTTAACAGACTCCAGGAAAGAAGACCCGTAACTCCGGGCAAAAAGCTTAAAAAAGGAGAATTATGAGGCGGGTGATTTTCACTCAGCCTCATAATCTGAGCGGTGACGTGGGACAATGCGACTGTCACAGGTCGGCTCAGTAGATCGGCAAGTGAGCGAACACATACCGTTGCTCGCTCACTTCTCGATCTATCAGTGCAGAGAGCCGTGACTGTCACTCACGGCTCCCTGCAGGGATTCCCCCCTCCCGGTCCGATCCCTCTGACTCAGCTGGGCGGATCCAGACAGTATTGTCGGGATCCGTTCCGGCGCCTCAGTATACCGCGAGCAATAGCTTGCGGTATACTGAGCTTTGGGTGACGGGAGGACGCTAGTTTGTGTCCTCCCATGACCCTTAGGAGAACTATGGGGAAAAGCGCTGACCCCATAGTTCTCCTTTAACTGTCGCTTCTTGAAGAAGTGGTCATGGGGACTTCTTAAGTTGCGATTGTTTTCTTTCTTACGTCATGCTCCAGTTTCAGACAGCCGCAGAACAAGTGCAGATGAAAACAGGTGCAAAAAACATGCAAAGTAGTGCAAGCTCTGGTCAAAGCAGGGGCACGTGTTGAAAGACAGATTTGCATTAAAAAAAAAAATGATCTAAGAGGCTAAAACTGTGGCAAGTGCTTTGATAAATTCCCCTCATTGTTGTTAATAATTAAGGTTCTTGAATGCATTTTTAAGATTTCCGGAGTGTATTGTCACTTTAAGTGAAGGTATGTATTAAAAACCAAAGGTTCATTCCTGGTGGAGGGCACGCATTCACCCGGACAGGGAAGGTTGGCCCAGACGGAGAACGTACCTGCTTCAGTGCTGGAGAACACGGGATCAGGTCCCCAACCCGATTGATTCCGGAGTTGATCTTCTTCTTCCGATGTCTCTCCACTGACAAGAGAAGAACAAAGTGTCATTAAGTCTCAACGTTCCGGTTTGGTGAGAACGATCTACAAACACTGAAAAGGTGGACCGAGAACCCCCCCCCCACGTGGACCGAGAACCCCCCAATGTAGACAGAGAACCCCCCCAATGTGGACCGAGATAGCATTACATATACAAGAGAATCCTTCTCCATTCTATGTAATACTAAAAGCAACGTTTGGGCTGGAGAACCACTTCAAAATTATTTTGTTATAGCCCTCGGGGTCTACTGCTGCCGCCTTGCATCCACCCCACAAAATTTCACACTGTGAAACCTTAAGCCCCCTGGAGAGAAACAGCCTCATTTCCTGGCTGGAGGACGTTCAGCATTACCTAACCCAAGGGAGGGCAAACTCCAGCCTTTCAGCTGTGATGACACTACAAATCCCATCATGCATCTGACTCTGGGAGTCATGCCTGTGGCTGAGAGAATCTTGCAATGCCTCATGGGATTTGTAGTACCAGAACAGCTGGAGGTGCAGTTTCCCCGGCCCTGATTTAGCTCTTTCCTCCCCTGCCTGACTGGCCCCGCCCCTTTTCATTCACTGGAATTCAGTTCTTTTATTAACGGAGTCTCAGCATTGTACGGGGGCATTCCCTGGGGCAATCTGTATGCAAATTCAACCTGTATAGGAACACCCGCTCCTCCACACTGACAGCCAACCATTGATGGCATTTTAATATTTGCATAACTCCTCCCAGGAGCCAACCCCCTGCTTACATCAGGGCTTGAGAGGAGTGCTGAGGCAGCTATGTACAGCACCCTCCCGCGCCCTCTCATCAGCGTGGAGCCCCCGTGATGACACAACTGGGTCTAACATAAGATATGTCATGAATAGGGAAAGGTTTCCTTTAATCATTTCATCAGCATGTGCATGAGGGGGGG